TTTGTGCTCTTAAATCAAAAAGAATTTCAAGTGAATAAACCATCAAGTAACTGCAAATGTCAAAAAAATGATACATGCCTATGGCTGTATAAGAATGCTGTTGCAACAACCTATAGAATAATGAACAACCAAAACTGAGCAACATATTTAAATGGGAAAGATATATCTGTATGTTAAACTTTTGGGTTGGTTGCAGATAGTCGCAGGTGCCCAATTGCACATAGATCCCATGTAGTTATTGTTGCAGATAGACCCCCTGACTCTATTATCCTCAGGAGGTTTATTTGTCAAAAAATAATTAGAGAAAAGAGTTTTTGAAAATAAAGTTCAATCAGGGGTCTATCTGCAACAATAGAACTCCAGGGGGTCTATCGGTAATTGGATGATGGTACCGAAGGGCTATTTGGAATCAACCTTCGAACTTTATTAATGTACAGATAAACTTTGACCCAATCAATTAATGAAAAACTAACCATTGAGCCAAAGGTGTTACAAATTGTACCTTCTCTGCACCAAGAATCTGAACAGTACTCCCAGGTTGCTTCGCTAGATTCAATAAACTACCACCATGAGCAATAAGTCGTGCTCCAACAAGCTCTCCAACAAGGGCAGTCAAATTTGGTGCAATTGTATTCATTCTGCTCTTCAAATAGTCATACAGCTGAGCCCGATACTCTGAAAGGGCTAAAACCTGATCACATAGTTCTTTAATGTTCAATAAATCTAAGTCACTAACTTCAGTTCCCATAGATATAACAGCTGCCTCTTTTAGCTCTGCTTCAGCCTCCTCCGATAAAACCTGTTTAACCAAAACAGATACAGATACAACTGCCATTATACAATAAACATTTAAGTAAATTACCAAAAATAAAAATTAATAATCATCTATACCCCAGGTTTAAAGAAACCCATTCTTTTAAAAAGTCAGCAAAAAATACTATCATCTTTGATAGTTAAAGGAATTGTTAGTTTTGTGATGCATTTTGGTTTACCTGACATCTGTCCAAATGTCCGCATGCGGAATTCTGGATTAATGATAAAGAATTAGATTTTTAATTTGTTCTAGAACAAACTATTTTTCTCTATCTCCTTCCTTTTCACTGTCAAAGTATATCGTTTTCAAAAGTGCATACTTCTCTTTAAATGTCTGTCTGCTCAGATGACTGAAGAACAAAACTCCATCACAAATTAACTGTTTAATTAATGATCATAAATGAGAGGATTTTTGTTGAACATTTAAGATGAGAGGTCTTCTAAAAACCAAGGTACAGATGTAGATTGTTTCTAGTAATTTACCCAAATTATGTTACATTTTTTCAGTAGAAGTTAAGGGCCACAATGATATACCTCAGAGAAATCAAGGTTTGCAGCATTCACACGATTGCCCATAAGCTTTACCACCTTTGCATATTGTATATTGTCCTGCACTATTTTCGCAAGTTCGGGAAAATGCCAGCCATACCATTCACGAACTCTCATAGCATAAGTGTTAAGCTCCTTATCAAGGTCATCTAACAATCCGATAGCTTGAATAATCATAGTATCCACCTGAAAAACGGCAAGAAAAATTCATAGATATAGTTAGAGATGATATTTTAACAAGCACAAAGAAAGTGAATTTTAATAAAAGTATAGCACGAGAACAACAAAAAAAGCTTTTTAACTTTTATCCAAAAGCTTTTGGGGTTGACTACATGAACCATACTATCTTATTCAGTTTTGCTGAGGGCTATCTCCTAGACTGAGTTAATCATTACCATGTCCTTCTTAATAGCCAAGTTATTTTAGACCTTCCTCTGGTCCTCCTTTCAATTAATTATAGTTATTATCACTTCTCCTAATTGTGAAATTAAAGACCTCCGTTGCATATGACCAGCAATTTGAAACAATTGTCTCATATCATCCTACCTCACTTTTATAAACACTCATTTTTTATCATATCTCTCAGTGGATATCAACTCATTCATCCTAACATTCTCATTTATGCTGCACTAGTTTCTGATACGAGTTTTAATAAAATTATAGTATATCAATCACGATGTGCAATGAGACAAGATCATGTCATATAATATTTGCATAAAGAGAAGTGAAATCACCTTATCTGGGCTAAACTTCAGCTTAAATCGAGATAAGCTATGTGACAAGCCCAAGCTCATAGGTGCAAGATCCTGCACACCCAGCCCAGATATAAGCTCAGTGAGCTGGCTCCTCACTCCTCTCATCAGCTCCATGACAGCATTGTTATGAAGACAGTCAATTTTCTGCAAACCATCAAAAAATCAAAAACTACTGCTAAAACAAAAATACTGCACCAATTTCACAAAAGGAAAAAAACCTAAACAAACCAATTTCTCTTTTATCGCATTCCCAAGTCTGGAATCAGCAACAGCTAATGTTTCTCCATCGCAGTGACTGCGTAAAAATTTACGAAGATCCTTGCTTGGTTTGCTATCAATTAGCAAGGTGGAAGCCGCCAAAGCCTCTGATGTATTCTCAAATTTACTGAATGCCTTCAATTTAACCACCTAATAACACAAAAGTTCATCAAAACAAGAGCGCACATGCAACCACAAGATCATAAGAAAGGTTAAGTTCTGAAAATTTATGCAGATCATCTCAAAGTTCAGGGGCTCCTCTGAAATTTACTTAATTAGGAAGGAAAGAGGGATAGAACCGCAACCTTTCTAGCTGATTCTGATGAAGAAAACTCCTTCCATAAATCCTAAAATAAACATCAATAATAATAATTATCAAAAGGGTCCACTGGGCTCGATAAAAAGATGAAAACTGAACTTTTAAAAAAAATTGTGGGGAAAATTTATACCTCAACTTTGGAGAGTTTGCCTTCGTCTAAGACTTTGAAGAGGGCGAACCCAGCTGGGGTTTCGAAGAGAAGCAACATTTGTCGTAATTTTTGAGCCCAATAATCTTAAAATTATATTATGAATTATATTAAAAGGGGGGCGGGGGAACAATCGGAGAGTGGAGAGAGCGAGAGCGGCTAAGGGAAGGGGAAGAAAAGGCGAGGGTTTTGACGGGGTTTTTTTGAGTAGAGACGTGGGGGAGGAGTTGGGGTTTACTGATGAACTCATCTCTGCCGTTGGTTCGTAAGTAGGAGTATGCCAACCGTTGGATCAAGTGATGTGTCGAATATCAGACGCCCAAAAGTCCCTATCCGGGGTATCAAATGTGCAGCCAACCACTGTCAATCACTGGATCAGTGCAACACGCACAACAAATGTAAGCGATCAGACTGTTGCAAATGCATCGGTTCAAGAGTTAAAATCATTGACCAGCGGCGCAAATGCTTTTACTTATATAAGACCGTCGGTCAATCACTGGATCAGTACAACACGCACAACAAATATAAAGGATCAGACTGTTGCAAATGCATCGGTTCAAGAGTTATAATCATTGACCAGCGGCGCAAATGCTTTTACTTATATAAGACTGTCGGTCGTTATTTTCCTTAAGAAATTTGTGCGAAAACATTTCCCGTGTTTGCTTATTCTACCATAATCAAAAACATACATTTAATTGAGATTTTTTTATTTATTTCATTGAAATGCTTTGGTTACGCTGAAAATGAAAAGCTTCGGAGTATTCAATCGAGACTCGTATGCCCATGCTCTCAGTTTAGCTTGATCGGTAACAAACATCTGTATGTATTTAGAAAAGTTTATAAGAGTTCAAATGCGTTGGTCACGTTGAAAGTGCAAAACCTTTGGAGTTCGCTCATGCCATAACTTTTTCTTCAGGGACCAAAATCACTATTATGCGTGTGACAACCAAAAGGTTAAAAAACAAATAACAAATAATAATAGGGGTCGGGGACTTCTCAAGAAGAAACGAAAGAAACATACACCTCATTGATTACCACAAGTAGGAAAACGTTATACAAAGGCTTTTTATGTAAAAATAAAATTCATCTCAACAACAAAAGTAACACCGGCGTTCCCCTCCCCTCACAGCGGGAGAAGCTAGCTAGCTACCGCTCGTTGCTCACACGTAGCTCACAGTAGGAAGGGAGGACCGAAAAAAGGGCGTCACCTCCTCCAGTCATCTCCGCCTCGACGGTCTCGAGGACCTCGCCTCGTCATCCTCCCTCTCTCGCCGCGAGGGCCTCCTCTTGAAATGGTAGTCCTCGTCCTCCTCCTCCTCGCTGGACTCGCGCTCGTAGCTGCTCCTCTTCCTGTCGTCCCGCTCTCGATGACCCCGATGGTGGTGGTGGTGGTGGTGGTCCTTGGCGACTCCGTTTAGCTGCCGCGCGCAAGGCATCAGAGGAACAGAGAATGAGGTCGTCATTCTCTTCTTGTCATTCCATTCTTTCCGACTCGACGGAACGCTGAATGACGAAGAAGAAGACAGCTGCCTTGTGCTTCCTCTCTTGCTCGGCTCGGCGCCGGCTCCTCTCTCGTCTTCCTCCTTTCCCTTTCCTCTTCAAGGTCCGAGGAGGGCCTCCGCTTTGCCGCAGCCGACGCGCGGTGTGTGAAGGCGGCGGGCTGGGTCTGGAGTCCTCTCGGATCGCGCGGGCCTCTCGGCTCTGGAGATCGGCCTCTGCGGACCATATAACCAATTATAAGTTAATTAATTCGTTGTAATAAAACCACCACCCTCTCTAAGAAAGCAAAATTGACAGAAACACCCGCCCAATAAATGGGCCTTGCCATTGCAGCCCATACGGACGCCATTATTAGTTCTAATTAGGCCCACATTGCTCGTTGCGCTGTGATCAAAACGGAAGGTCACGTCCGACAACTTTATTTTATTTTATTTTTCTACTAATATTTTTTTATTTATTTAATGCGTACCTTCCATCAAAAAATTTGTAAATTATAAACTTCTTCCAACGGCAAAAGATTTTACAAGACTATACGTTGACAATCGTTCCAAAATTAAAGATCGCTGATTCGAGCCTGTTTGTTTCCCTGCAGCTCATGATGCATGATGTTTCCGATATAACTTCGGAACAACACGACGGGGAGGAGAGCCAGTTGCGGCGACAAAATCAAACAGGTCACAAGCCGCATCCAATCATATCTCGTATGGTACCAAGAAGAACCATAGGGAAACAAACACGCCCAGATTGTATCGCATCGCATCGAGCAATATATACAATGAGCGCCCCCCAATTTCTTCCAATACCCACACAGATCCTTCGCTTCATATTTGCTTCAAGCACAAAAACTTAGGAGGCACATCTGGTGCATATACTCTGTTTATTTTGACTGACCCAAATACCTAGTTACTATGAAATTATTAACACGACCAAAAAGAAAATAATCAGAGGGAAAAAAAAGGGGGAGAAAAAAGAGTGAACTTATCAAACCCATAACGCAAATTTGCAAACCAAGCTAGCACAAAGAAGCCCATCAGAGTGCACAAATGTAAAAACGTAAATCGAACATTAGCAATAATTACGAGACATACGGGCTTTCCCTTCATTGGAGAAGCATTGGCACCACTGCTGCTAACTTCCTTGCCAACGCCTCTACCATCTCTCGACCTCTCCCTGTTAACAAAGTCAAATAACCAAGACGATTAACAAAGAAATAAGCACTCGGAAAGCTCCAGATCCATAGTGTATTAGTTTGCATGATAAAAGAATTTACAGGATTGCTTTATACAAACTCTACAATCAGGTTGATGTTAATTATTAGGGCTAATTGTGGATAGACCCCTGCAGTTCCGTTGTTGCAGACTCTGTCACCCTCAAAGAAAGAAAGAAATGTTCTTTGTCAAATTGACCAGCGGGGAGAAGAGTCAAACAAGTTACCTCATGCTCTGTCAACATTTGGGTTATAGTACAAGGGGGTGGTCTATCCACAATCGGCGATAGTGCAGGGGATCTTTTCGCAATTAACCCTAATTATGAAGTAGTTGTCTAGGTTCATGGACATTGACAAACATCATATTAAAAAAGAAGAAGAAGAAGAAGCTAATCCATTTACACATGAGGCATGGCAGTGAGTATTAAGTCATTGATGATTGGAAACCCACTATACTAAAAAAACATCAGGTGATTGTACCTTTCATTAAGACGCTCAAATTCACGCTTCCTTCTGATATCAGCTTTCCTCGCCTCAAATTCCTCCCTGCTCATTGGAGCTGCTTTATTCATGATCATACCATTAAATCCTAACTCAGAGAGGTCCCTGTACACATGATTTTATCAGTTTTCAGATGTCATACTACAGCAACCAATAAAAACCAGCAGAAACTAAGAACAAAAATATGAATAGTCACCCGAGAGATCAGTGACCTAAACTTGACTTTATCTTGCTTTGCTGAAAACTTCACCTATTTAACAGGGAAGTGAAGGGAGCTCGATTCGGACTGTTGTGTCATGTTTAAGTAACCAAAATAAACTAAATGTGGTTTACACTGCGTCCTTTATTTTAGATGTGCCTTATAACAAAATAATCCAAAGTTATCTAGTGCGCAGCATCATTATGTTGGATGCTCTGGGGCATTTTGTAAAAATTACACTTACACAACATTAGATTCCCCAAGAAATAGGTAAAGGTGTGTGATATGATCTACCATTTTGTCGTTCCACACTTACAAAAGTTGGGCATTAATTAAAGCATGTGCAAATACACTTGGATATCCGGATAAATTAACAAATTGAGCCAATTCCCAAAATTACTGTGTGCTTTTACTCTAATAAAAGCAACCCTAGTAAGCCACTATACCTCGGAGGAAGAGGTGGCATCATATAGCCCTGCGCTGCAAATGGATCTGGTGGTAGCATTGCACCGAAAGGAACATCAAAAGGACCTGGAGCGTAACCCATACTATAAGGCATGGCACCACCAAATGGCGCCATAAATCCGTCAAACGCCATTGGCATTCCCCCACCCCAGTAAGGGTTGTAGGCTTGGGCTTGAGGTCCTAGAGGCATCCCAGAATGGTTTTCAGGTGCAAGCTCTTGAAAACCTCTCCATTGCATATCAGTACCTGCAGTTCCCAAAAAAAATTAAGCCATGGGAATTTACGTGATTCCTCATTATAGAAAGACGGAAAGAAATGCAAGTAACAGAAATACGATAACAAACTAACCACTTGGAGGTACGCGTGCTTTTTTCTTTTTTTTCTTCTTTCCTGCATGCAAATAAATATTACAACTGATCCAATATTTGCAAAAGAAAAAGAGAAACCACCATCAAATTCTACATCCTCTGCACTTCCATAGTTGCATGAATTGAAAAAGCAGCTAAAAAAAGAAGAAAGAGGAACAGTGATATCAAGGAAATGAGAAGCTAAAACCACCTTGCTCAGCACCAAGAGACTTTTCCTGGCCCTCTTCAGGCACTGGAGCACTCTCTGGAGATATTGGCTCTTTGGTACTCATTGATTCAGGTGTTGGTTCAGGTTGCTCGGTTTTTTTTGCAGTTCTCTTCTCCAAAGAATTCGTCACTGTGTTGACAGCCTTTCCTTCACTTGCAGCATCAGCTTCTTTTACCTTAACATCTGATGAATGCTGGATAGGAGATGTCTGCTTAGGTTCGTCTTTCAAAGCACCAGAAAGAGACGGTGATGGCACTTTGGGAGGGGGAGGGACGTGACGAGCAGATTCCATATCTAAAAGCAGACCAAATTTAATAGACTGATAAAAACATGAAAGTTTTTTTAAATAAGTGGTAATATATTCTTTTTATACCTTGAACTTGTACTAAGCTTCCAACATTCTCCGTACTACTAGTTGTTGACTCCAATATGCGACTAATGGTTTCTCGCAGCGTTTTGTTGGGAAGAAGGTCATCTGCTAATATATTTGTGGCTCCACAAACACACATTGACTTGCTAATTATGTAGTCCCTGATACCTGATGAAAATTACAAAGTAAATAAATTTCTACAACAACCATGCATCATGAAGAAATAAAATGAAACGGACTACCAACAGTCCAGAAACCTTTTTGTCAAAAACTCTAGGGTAGAGAAACATTTAAGTGAAGGGAGAATTAATGCCAAGAAAGAAACTCTTTTCAGAGAATAGAAATCAGTGTCAATAAAATCTTTTTTTTTTTTAACCTACCACAATAGAATAAAATTTTATACATCATACTTACACTTGTCACAGAAGCTCCTGAAGCAGCATTTGCTAGTTAATACAGCGTCTTTCATAACTTCCTTACAGAGCGGACACCGTAGTTCAGGTGGAAGATCACTGACTGGTCGGGTAGAAGGCATTCCCTCAATTTCCTTCTCAAACGCAGCTCTGTATAGATTGAAAGACGTTTAGCAAAATATATCTCTAGTAAATTCATGAACCACAAAAGATAGTACTACAATATGAAACAATCAGCTTACTCATTTGGCTTTAAAACAGCAACTGCACCACTAGGCAATACATAAGAGCCATCAGGAGTGGCCATCAACATTGACTTTGGGATACCAGTAGGTGGTTTAACCTTTCTAACATCATAATTTGGATCGCCATTTGTAGGGCAATGCTGAATAAAATGCCCTGGAGACAGAAAATTCAGATGATCACAATAAGGATACATACCTAGCCAAGAAAAGATTAATCAGTCAAATAAGCCAACAGCATCAGCATACCAGGAACTTTGCATCGGTGACAGGTGTATCCGGGAGGAGGTGTCTTCCTTTCAAACCCACCACGACCTTCAACCAATTAGCAAATTGTCAGAAAATATGGAAGAAAACGATGGACAATAAAATAAAGCTGGATGTAACAATTAGAAAGTGCATATTTCAAAGGGGAACTGCAACGTCTGCTGAATACAAGCCAATACAAAAGAACAAATGCTAACAATTTCTAAAATAGGTCCTCCGGTTGATTGGAGTGTGTTCAATAAACAAGTGTGCCTGAGTACTATTTACTCTGCTCCTAGATCATATCAAACACCAATCACTGCAAGCACATTATCAACAATTCAACACTTCTAGAACCATTGTCAAACAGTAAACTATATCCAAGGTAATCAATGATGAGTCGGATGCACAACACAAGCCAATGAAAGAGGGAAAGCACCAGCCATTACTTGTCACAACCATCCATTAAATTCATCATCTACACAGAATTTATACCCCCATCTTTCGGTATACAAGCGAGTTATGCACCTCAATTGACACGCACATGAGACACGCAAGAAAACGACAATCACAATGTTCTGAATTATCCGATCCAACGCATTAACATCAAGGAAATAATAATTTTATCTCATTACTTCATATTCACCTAATAGTTCTCAATTTATTATTTTATTATATATTACTTGAAAAAAAAGCAATGGACCTAAGTCTTTGCCTAGCGATTAACAGATAGTCATAGCCTTATCTTGCATGACCAATTTACAAGAATCTTATACTGGAAATAATCATACCAAAATGAAAAAAAAATGATAAAAAAGAAATTAATATGACGATGACAACAAGATAAGGAAACCAAAAATGATAAGAGAACATATGAAGAGCATAAAGGTATACCAAAGCCACGACCAGCCATCATCCCTCTCCCAAAGCCTCTTCCAAAGCCTCTACCGCCAAAGCCATCTTGTCCTTGACTGAAATGCCAGATGGTCCAATTAGAAGAGAATACGTTTCAAAACAGAATTACAATGAAGAACTACTGCTACGATTTGTGGTTCATGTCACCTTAAAATAACTTAAGACAATTTAATAAGCAGCCCAACTTAGAAATCAATCAACAAACGTTTCTCACCGGCTCCAATCAAGTGCAGGCGTTTCAATTAATGCCTTAAGCTTGTCGTCTTCATCAATCCTACTAGCAGAAGAGACATCTACACCTGGATTACCTGACTGAGTAGGGACCACTTCAGGAGCATACAAATCATTGCCAAATACGTCCCATTCAGATTCTTCAGGCTGCAAATTTGAACTTAAACTTACAACCTATTCCATGACTTAAAGCAAAGCACTATGGGCTAATAAAATCTTTTTCCCACCTTCAGAAGGAAAGTTAATGAACTTACATTATTCATGGTAGCAGATGAGTCGCCAACAAACATACTACTCTGAGGTGGAAGTTCCTCTGCCTTATTGTCCACTACTTTTGGCCTGCAAACAAACGTACATTTTCAAAAAATTTGCTGAGGTCTCTCTTATGTTGCAAGGATCTCCCTTGAGTTGTCTTAATATTGCTTAGTAACTATATCAAAGATCAAGGTTTGACCTTATGATACTAAAATCCTAAATGGAAATGCCAAGTATACTACAAATCCTATACTACATTTGTACAACAAAGATACAGAAAGGGGTCCTTCATGACTCATAAATTCGGTGGCATTCCGAGCCACACTGTTGTTTGTTGTAGTACAGATGTAGTTTAAGGCATGTAGTTCATATCATTACTCAGCCCTAAAATCTCTTATGAAGAATACAGACTAATGATAGAAAGTATCTCATCTGAAATAAGCACTCGGAAAGCTCCAGATCCATAGTGTATTAGTTTGCATGATAAAAGAATTTACAGGATTGCTTTATACAAACTCTACAATCAGGTTGATGTTAATTATTAGGGCTAATTGTGGATAGACCCCTGCAGTTCCGTTGTTGCAGACTCTGTCACCCTCAAAGAAAGAAAGAAATGTTCTTTGTCAAATTGACCAGCGGGGAGAAGAGTCAAACAAGTTACCTCATGCTCTGTCAACATTTGGGTTATAGTACAAGGGGGTGGTCTATCCACAATCGGCGATAGTGCAGGGGATCTTTTCGCAATTAACCCTAATTATGAAGTAGTTGTCTAGGTTCATGGACATTGACAAACATCATATTAAAAAAGAAGAAGAAGAAGAAGCTAATCCATTTACACATGAGGCATGGCAGTGAGTATTAAGTCATTGATGATTGGAAACCCACTATACTAAAAAAACATCAGGTGATTGTACCTTTCATTAAGACGCTCAAATTCACGCTTCCTTCTGATATCAGCTTTCCTCGCCTCAAATTCCTCCCTGCTCATTGGAGCTGCTTTATTCATGATCATACCATTAAATCCTAACTCAGAGAGGTCCCTGTACACATGATTTTATCAGTTTTCAGATGTCATACTACAGCAACCAATAAAAACCAGCAGAAACTAAGAACAAAAATATGAATAGTCACCCGAGAGATCAGTGACCTAAACTTGACTTTATCTTGCTTTGCTGAAAACTTCACCTATTTAACAGGGAAGTGAAGGGAGCTCGATTCGGACTGTTGTGTCATGTTTAAGTAACCAAAATAAACTAAATGTGGTTTACACTGCGTCCTTTATTTTAGATGTGCCTTATAACAAAATAATCCAAAGTTATCTAGTGCGCAGCATCATTATGTTGGATGCTCTGGGGCATTTTGTAAAAATTACACTTACACAACATTAGATTCCCCAAGAAATAGGTAAAGGTGTGTGATATGATCTACCATTTTGTCGTTCCACACTTACAAAAGTTGGGCATTAATTAAAGCATGTGCAAATACACTTGGATATCCGGATAAATTAACAAATTGAGCCAATTCCCAAAATTACTGTGTGCTTTTACTCTAATAAAAGCAACCCTAGTAAGCCACTATACCTCGGAGGAAGAGGTGGCATCATATAGCCCTGCGCTGCAAATGGATCTGGTGGTAGCATTGCACCGAAAGGAACATCAAAAGGACCTGGAGCGTAACCCATACTATAAGGCATGGCACCACCAAATGGCGCCATAAATCCGTCAAACGCCATTGGCATTCCCCCACCCCAGTAAGGGTTGTAGGCTTGGGCTTGAGGTCCTAGAGGCATCCCAGAATGGTTTTCAGGTGCAAGCTCTTGAAAACCTCTCCATTGCATATCAGTACCTGCAGTTCCCAAAAAAAATTAAGCCATGGGAATTTACGTGATTCCTCATTATAGAAAGACGGAAAGAAATGCAAGTAACAGAAATACGATAACAAACTAACCACTTGGAGGTACGCGTGCTTTTTTCTTTTTTTTCTTCTTTCCTGCATGCAAATAAATATTACAACTGATCCAATATTTGCAAAAGAAAAAGAGAAACCACCATCAAATTCTACATCCTCTGCACTTCCATAGTTGCATGAATTGAAAAAGCAGCTAAAAAAAGAAGAAAGAGGAACAGTGATATCAAGGAAATGAGAAGCTAAAACCACCTTGCTCAGCACCAAGAGACTTTTCCTGGCCCTCTTCAGGCACTGGAGCACTCTCTGGAGATATTGGCTCTTTGGTACTCATTGATTCAGGTGTTGGTTCAGGTTGCTCGGTTTTTTTTGCAGTTCTCTTCTCCAAAGAATTCGTCACTGTGTTGACAGCCTTTCCTTCACTTGCAGCATCAGCTTCTTTTACCTTAACATCTGATGAATGCTGGATAGGAGATGTCTGCTTAGGTTCGTCTTTCAAAGCACCAGAAAGAGACGGTGATGGCACTTTGGGAGGGGGAGGGACGTGACGAGCAGATTCCATATCTAAAAGCAGACCAAATTTAATAGACTGATAAAAACATGAAAGTTTTTTTAAATAAGTGGTAATATATTCTTTTTATACCTTGAACTTGTACTAAGCTTCCAACATTCTCCGTACTACTAGTTGTTGACTCCAATATGCGACTAATGGTTTCTCGCAGCGTTTTGTTGGGAAGAAGGTCATCTGCTAATATATTTGTGGCTCCACAAACACACATTGACTTGCTAATTATGTAGTCCCTGATACCTGATGAAAATTACAAAGTAAATAAATTTCTACAACAACCATGCATCATGAAGAAATAAAATGAAACGGACTACCAACAGTCCAGAAACCTTTTTGTCAAAAACTCTAGGGTAGAGAAACATTTAAGTGAAGGGAGAATTAATGCCAAGAAAGAAACTCTTTTCAGAGAATAGAAATCAGTGTCAATAAAATCTTTTTTTTTTTTAACCTACCACAATAGAATAAAATTTTATACATCATACTTACACTTGTCACAGAAGCTCCTGAAGCAGCATTTGCTAGTTAATACAGCGTCTTTCATAACTTCCTTACAGAGCGGACACCGTAGTTCAGGTGGAAGATCACTGACTGGTCGGGTAGAAGGCATTCCCTCAATTTCCTTCTCAAACGCAGCTCTGTATAGATTGAAAGACGTTTAGCAAAATATATCTCTAGTAAATTCATGAACCACAAAAGATAGTACTACAATATGAAACAATCAGCTTACTCATTTGGCTTTAAAACAGCAACTGCACCACTAGGCAATACATAAGAGCCATCAGGAGTGGCCATCAACATTGACTTTGGGATACCAGTAGGTGGTTTAACCTTTCTAACATCATAATTTGGATCGCCATTTGTAGGGCAATGCTGAATAAAATGCCCTGGAGACAGAAAATTCAGATGATCACAATAAGGATACATACCTAGCCAAGAAAAGATTAATCAGTCAAATAAGCCAACAGCATCAGCATACCAGGAACTTTGCATCGGTGACAGGTGTATCCGGGAGGAGGTGTCTTCCTTTCAAACCCACCACGACCTTCAACCAATTAGCAAATTGTCAGAAAATATGGAAGAAAACGATGGACAATAAAATAAAGCTGGATGTAACAATTAGAAAGTGCATATTTCAAAGGGGAACTGCAACGTCTGCTGAATACAAGCCAATACAAAAGAACAAATGCTAACAATTTCTAAAATAGGTCCTCCGGTTGATTGGAGTGTGTTCAATAAACAAGTGTGCCTGAGTACTATTTACTCTGCTCCTAGATCATATCAAACACCAATCACTGCAAGCACATTATCAACAATTCAACACTTCTAGAACCATTGTCAAACAGTAAACTATATCCAAGGTAATCAATGATGAGTCGGATGCACAACACAAGCCAATGAAAGAGGGAAAGCACCAGCCATTACTTGTCACAACCATCCATTAAATTCATCATCTACACAGAATTTATACCCCCATCTTTCGGTATACAAGCGAGTTATGCACCTCAATTGACACGCACATGAGACACGCAAGAAAACGACAATCACAATGTTCTGAATTATCCGATCCAACGCATTAACATCAAGGAAATAATAATTTTATCTCATTACTTCATATTCACCTAATAGTTCTCAATTTATTATTTTATTATATATTACTTGAAAAAAAAGCAATGGACCTAAGTCTTTGCCTAGCGATTAACAGATAGTCATAGCCTTATCTTGCATGACCAATTTACAAGAATCTTATACTGGAAATAATCATACCAAAATGAAAAAAAAATGATAAAAAAGAAATTAATATGACGATGACAACAAGATAAGGAAACCAAAAATGATAAGAGAACATATGAAGAGCATAAAGGTATACCAAAGCCACGACCAGCCATCATCCCTCTCCCAAAGCCTCTTCCAAAGCCTCTACCGCCAAAGCCATCTTGTCCTTGACTGAAATGCCAGATGGTCCAATTAGAAGAGAATACGTTTCAAAACAGAATTACAATGAAGAACTACTGCTACGATTTGTGGTTCATGTCACCTTAAAATAACTTAAGACAATTTAATAAGCAGCCCAACTTAGAAATCAATCAACAAACGTTTCTCACCGGCTCCAATCAAGTGCAGGCGTTTCAATTAATGCCTTAAGCTTGTCGTCTTCATCAATCCTACTAGCAGAAGAGACATCTACACCTGGATTACCTGACTGAGTAGGGACCACTTCAGGAGCATACAAATCATTGCCAAATACGTCCCATTCAGATTCTTCAGGCTGCAAATTTGAACTTAAACTTACAACCTATTCCATGACTTAAAGCAAAGCACTATGGGCTAATAAAATCTTTTTCCCACCTTCAGAAGGAAAGTTAATGAACTTACATTATTCATGGTAGCAGATGAGTCGCCAACAAACATACTACTCTGAGGTGGAAGTTCCTCTGCCTTATTGTCCACTACTTTTGGCCTGCAAACAAACGTACATTTTCAAAAAATTTGCTGAGGTCTCTCTTATGTTGCAAGGATCTCCCTTGAGTTGTCTTAATATTGCTTAGTAACTATATCAAAGATCAAGGTTTGACCTTATGATACTAAAATCCTAAATGGAAATGCCAAGTATACTACAAATCCTATACTACATTTGTACAACAAAGATACAGAAAGGGGTCCTTCATGACTCATAAATTCGGTGGCATTCCGAGCCACACTGTTGTTTGTTGTAGTACAGATGTAGTTTAAGGCATGTAGTTCATATCATTACTCAGCCCTAAAATCTCTTATGAAGAATACAGACTAATGATAGAAAGTATCTCATCTAAAAATCAGAATTGAGGTGCGAGACAATACTCGTCTGGTTCAGTAACAATAGGCATCCGAGGACATCCTGGGACACGACGAATCAACACCGAAGTATTTTTAGGAATCATTGCAGCCTCATCAACATACTCTGAAATTGAAAATGGATAATCACGAAGTCCATAAAAATTAGAATAATATTTTATCACAAACCCATATCCCCATCAGCTAAAATAGTCCGTTCCAAGTACTAGAATAAGTACTAGAAACAATTTTAGAATCCCAAATGGCTCTTCTCTTTTAGTTTTGAGCAATATGTAAAATCAATAAACCAATCAAAGATTACACCTTTTCTAAGAAAACAAACCAACCTTCATTGGTCTGAGCATTGGAGATCATTAGGTCGAAATCAGTTCCCCTCCCCAAATGCTTAGATTCAAAAATCCGTTCTTTCAGATTACCAACAGAGATAAATTGCCCCTCAATCAGAATAGAATCATAGTCCTTAGCACTTTTGAACTTATAGTAGACAGCCATTTTTTTTCTCCTCTCCAAAATTTCCCCTACTAATCTAAATCGCAATAAAAAGTACTAAACCACAGAAATAACTTTGTTTTTTCCCTTAAAATTGAGCAGAATAATAGAATAGATAGAAGGCCTGGGATAAAAGCAGGCCTTATATCAAACTAGAACAAACAGAATACAACTATTTATCTCTTTTCTTTATCCTCGAAGAAGAAGCAGACCACGCTCTCTTCCAGAAACCCTAGATCCCCCCTGAGATCGAGCGATCCAATTGAAGAAACCGCACGATCAACGCAAAGATCCACCAATCCAATTGACGAAATCAAAGGAACCGCCTTCAACAGCCACCGATCTGAAGAGAGAATCCAAGAAACCACCCCCAAAAGATCCACCGACACGACGAGCAGCGCAGAACTCGATCAGGAGGCTTCAAACGATCGACGATCCACCGACGGGATCCGATCCGCTTCGGACTTCAGGATCGCTTCATCGCCGAGACCGAAAACCCTAGATCCGTCGCCGACCGCAGGAAGAACGAGCGG